TGCTGTTAAAGTATTTACATAAAGTAAAACAAATAGCTTTATGCACTGCATGCTCTCTCCTTTGCTCCAGCTGCTTTTTTACCTTCTGAACTATGACTTGTGTTTGCTTAAAACAAGGCTAGGCCAGGGCAGAGTACATGATAATATCTGGTGATGAAGGAACAGAGAAACCAAAGTAATGGATATCTAGGCTTTCTGTGCTGCTTGTTAAAGCAATAGCATTCAACAGTATATGCTTGTAGAGATAAAGTTCACCGGTATGTGGAGGACAGCACAAAGCTGCACACCGCTTACATTGTATTTTGAGGATGTAATTGGACTTAAGTGTTGCATAGGCTTTGTCTTGTTTATTCAGGGATGAAGTACACTCACATGAACAAATTGCAACCTTTAGATGCCTGGTGAGGTGCAAGGTGGTACAGACGAAGTGATTTTCATTTTTAAAATTGTATTTCAGAAGAAGGTTGTGAGATAGTTATAGCATGTTCAACATTGTACAGCCAAAGAAGCCTGAAAGCCACTAATCTTGGAACAAGGCTGTTCTTGCTTTACTTAGCTGAGCTAATAGTTCTGTAGTGGCTTAATACTTGCCTTATATTTGGTAAAGGGTCATGTTCAAAACCCAGACTGGAAGAAGGTTGTTCTTCCCTCTCCATTGTATTCACTGATGATCTTTCACTAGTAAGTATTTGATAGCTAAAGCTCAGGTACTCAGTTTGAGGTTTTGCAAATTTGTATTGCAAATAAGAATTATGGATTGAACTATTTCTTAACAAATTAAAGAAAATATTGCAATTTAAATAGACAAGAGTTAAGGTGCTAGACTTCCTCAATTGTCACTCCTCTTACTTTAATTATAAACAAAATTAACTCCTCATTGTAGCGCCAGAAGGGAATGTTGTTTGACCTAGATTAAAAAGGGTCATTCATTTCCGGAATAAATTCCTGTTTTAACGAGGGCATATTTTTAAAGGGAAACTGTCCTGTCCTGATTATAATTTTATTTATTTATTACTTGCCAGTAATGGAGATTCTACCACTTCCCTTGGTAAATTGTTCCAGTTATTAGTTATCCTCATTTAAAAAAAAAAAAAATTGCTCCTAAGTTCTGCTCTGAATTCATTTATCTTCAACTCCCCAGCCACTGAGTCTTGTTATATATATCTTTGCCTGCCAAACTGAAGAGCCCTTGGTCACCAAATTTCTGTTCCCCACACAGGTACTTATAGAGTTATTAATGCACCCAGGAACCATGTCATAGATAAAGGTCAAAGAACTTGCACTAGAAGGTATTAAAAAAAAAGTTTAATATATATGTATGCTATTTTATAAATGGAAGTAGTTATTACCCTTGGCTGTTAGTGCAAAATGAGATATACTGCAGTTCTTCCTTAGACAGTATTACAATACGGAAAGTTCTGACCCATGCCATTATAATTAAAGGTGTCAAGAGTTGCAAGTTGTGAGCGGAAAGAACCCTTGGGAGCCACATCATTCTAATTTTGCTTGCTTTTATGTTGGATGTTTGAGGGGAACATTATGCTTATTTTTTGTGGAGGATTTTATTATGCTGCAACATCTGGAGATATACAAAATATGGTCACTCTCAGTGGCTTGGACCCTCGTTTTACTGTACTTGGATGACAGTGCATGGAAGAAGTTGTAATCTTTGAAGTGGAGCAGCTGCTTTGTTATCCACTCATATTACAGAACGGACAGGACTTTGACCAGGCTGGGGAAGCTTGGGTGTGAAGAGGCCTTCCTTTTTAAAAGCATTTCATTTGAGAATTCTGCTAATGGGGTGTAAATGTTAAAGCAGTATGAGTCCCTTTGCTTCTACAGTTACAAAAATGAGACAGCCATATTACAAAATGTTATCCTGGTGCTGCAGTGGTCAGCTAATCAGGTAATTTCTTCCCTGATCCAGTGATTACACACAGCCTCACAGCTGTGGAAGGGCTTTTGTCAGAGAATGGACTACAGAGATGTTCTGGCTTTTGGCTTGAGATTGTTGCTCCCAATTTTACAGTAAATGTGCAGCTAGTATTTCTTCATATTTAAAATGCAGATTAGACAAAGCAGCACTTGGCCTTTGATACATGACCTTTAAAATCATTTTAAATGATTTTTTTTTTTTTTTTAAGTAAAATCTCTAAAATGGGGTAAAATAGATCAGGAATAGTCTTGCTTAATTTGTTCTTTTACTTCCTTTTGAATCAGGTTGATAGCTAGGATGTTCCAAAAGATACTGTACCTTTCATAGGTCACTAACTCAGCTGCAATATGCTGGCTGATCAGTGTATGGCAGGAATGCTTTAGATCAATCCTGCCTTCAGTTTCACTTTGATGCCACTGCAACAAAATAATGCTGTTGCAGTCTTCTTAGGGGAAGTCAACTTCCACGTAGTGGTTAAGTGGATTTAAGATTTCTCTAAATTTGTTAAATCTGTGAGTTTTTTTAATTTGTTTTTTTTATTAAACCATCTGGGATGAGCAAAAGATCCTTGCTTTCAAGCGAGTTTCAGATCATTGTGGAATGTAATGTCTGTTTCCACTGATGGAAAGGTGGGGGAGCGTTTTTTTGTTAGTAGTGTTGGCAGTGTGATCAGTACATCTTAGAAAAAGGAGAGAGGGAGCTTCCTGGCTTGCTCTAAGGAATGAAAGGCATCTTGACTTTGGGTTGTCCAGGGAATATAGTATAAATATAACTTGATAATTATCAACTTATATGGCTTAAGTAAAACCATGTTACAATATGGGGTGATATAGTTTTATTGCCTCTTGTTTAAAGGATGTGTATCTGTGGCTTCACAGCTCAGAAGCTGTGTACTCTGACCACATTTGAAGTGCCAATAAAGCATAATGTGTGGTTTTACTTTGCCCCTCCATCTATATAAGATTGCATGCAAATGCTAACACATTACAGCAAGGCAAGAGGTCAAGCAATTTCAGTTATTATTTGTTAACAGAATGAAGTTAGACAACCGCATTAAATGGCCAAGGGTTTTGTCCATCTCTTTCTCTTCTCTCCCCCCCCCCCC